TTTAATGCAAAAAAAAGGTGACAACAAATGAAGCAATTCGTCTGAGCATTTTAAAGTTTCTCACGTACTCTTTTTACATTGCAATGGTACGTGGTACATCTTCAACTTTCTATTTTGCATTTATACAGTGTGCGTTTTATAAACAACATTAATGGTAGAATGATTTTGTTTAATGGTTAAGACTTTAAAATTTCTTTAGCTTGCATATGCATTTAAGTGATTGCTGGGTAAATGTCTGTTGTGATGGTTTTGTTTTAAAGATGTAGCTTTGTGGATGGCTTTTTGCTATGTGCATCAGAGACCGGGTTTCCTTTTTTTCTCCCCCCCTCGGGATTTGAAAAAACTGCTGAGCTTGACAGATTTTTTTTCTCCTAGCGCTTGCTCGCTTCCAGAAAGGGAGAAAAAAAATCCTGTACTTGCTCGATTCTGTTCAAAGACGTCTGGCCTCAGCAGTCAACCTAACCCGAAAAGAAATGTCTGGACCCGGAGAATAATTGACGATTCGATCCCCTAATCAATGGGACAAACATGGGAGATTGACAAAAGCTTTATCCAATCATAAGGAAGGTTGGGTGTACAATGGTTCGCAGCAGCCAGAGGGGGCGGGGCAGAGGACATCTAAAGTTCTCTGCGGCTCTGAAGGAGATGGTGCGGTTCAAGCTGTCAAAACTACAAGCTCTTCCGGATTTAGCAAGCACAATAGCAAAGAGTTTTCGAGTTTAAGAAACAAAAAAAGCTGATTGGAGCATTTTGGATTAATTTTATGCCCTCCTCATTGCCCTTTGGAGAAAGTCAGGAAAGTTCTGCTAGAGAAATGTTTCACTTTGAATCATTATTTTTAAATTTGGAAAAGTTGTTATCTGTTTTGGAAGGTGAGGGTGAAGTTCAACTTCTTTAAGAAATGTGTGGCTTTAAAACGTGACTGAGTTGTGGGACTTAGCTTTGGGAAGTAGTGTATTGTGTAGTCAGCATTACAAAAACCCTCACTCTGATTATCTTAGAAGCTTTGGTGTTTCAAGTACTTTGAAGGAATGTGGGAGCCTCTCTTCTTGAACTCTAAACAACAGTTTTAAGGGAGAGAATGTTTCACAGGTGGACTGACAGCTGTTTTATGCATGTGAAAGGAAGAGGAGGACGGGGGAGGGGTTTTTCTTGGGTTTTCTTGAATTCTGCTGTTTTACTATATGGTCAGTAGCAAATAGGACAGGAAGACTGGCCAAGTTCACATTTCTCCATGTTACCACAACAACTCCTGTGGAGGGTGTGAGTGTGGAAGATTGCTGACTTGCTGTTAGCTGGAGTCTGGCCTTAGACAAGCCCTTGACACCAATCCAGTGAAAACCAACTGGAGTAGCTTGTCTTGGAGACAGTAACTGGCAGCCTCTGACTAAAATGTATCCATCTCCTCCTTCTCTATGAGCGGTGTGGACACCTAATTCTGTTGGGAAGTGAATGGAAAATAATATGGGCTCTTTCCCATCTTTGGATTAAATTCCCATTGAGCTATTTCCCAAGGCTTTAGGCCTTCAAATCAAATCTGGTTTGGAAATTTGATGTAAAAATTCACTTGGACGCTCAGTTCAGTTACATGATTCAATGTAAAATTGTATGCATATAAAAACAATCTTCACACAAGTGACCAACAGGTCAAAAACTAGGGAAGAAAAATGTTGGAAAATGCTAGTTAGTAAAGTTAATCTTGGTAAGAACTACAGAGTTAAATGGTGTTGTCACTTATGAACCTAGTTGTATCTTCACTGCTTTGGGCATTAAAATTTAAATCATATTAATAAGCTCTTCCTATTAAGTAACCTTCTAAATGAGAGGTATCTGAGATGTACATATAAGTGAAACCTTATTGACGTAATTTATATATCTAAGAGGATTTCACTAAAGTTGGCAAGGTAACGTTTCTGCAAATAAAACACAGTAAATGCAAGGCTGGGCTCTGTGCCAAGAAGAATATGGATAGCAGAGAGCATGACAGGAGCCTCCTTTGCGCAGAGACAATCCCATTTCAAGGCAGCCTCCCAGCACTTGCAAAATAAATGATTGGAGCGGTTATTTCCAATAAGGGGTTTATCCTTCCTAACAATGGGTCATTTATATGATTGCAGTAAACTAGTTTTCGTACTTCACCTGTGTTTCCCACACTGTTCTACTATCCTTTCTTTCTTCCCTCCTGCCTCCATCCCTGCTGTCTCTCAAGTGTCTTACCTTCTTTATGAACTCTGGACAAGGATTTACTCTTGCAACTTGGGAAGAAGAGAAAGAGTTGGAAATGTTTTTTACCCCCAGACTGCCCTTTGAGGAACATCTGTTTCTTTGTGTGTGTGCTTAAATTTATGCCTGTTGGAGAGAAAGTTACCAGAAGCCTTTCTGTAACTGTAACTCTTCTACTGTATTTTTCTCAGTTTTGTTTCCAAAGGCTGTAGTTGGAACTGTGCTTTGTAGTGTGTTTCCCCCGCCCCCCCCTCCACCGCGGGGGAGGGGAGCGGGAGCTGGCGGAGATAGGAGAGAAAGCAGGAGCGGATGTGAAGGGCTTTGGTGCTGAACTTGGATCCAGCCCTTGCCTAGAGGGCGCAAACAATCGTCCCATATCCAAAAGTCTTATGAAGGGCGCCAAAAGTTACTTAAGATAATATTGCTGACCGCAAAAAGCTGGAAATCGCGGGCACATCGACCGCTACAACAAAAGAAGTTTTTAAAGTAGAAATATCAGCATTAAATTACTTTTTCCCATTAAAAAAAAACCAGGGCGATGTGCCAGTTCTTTATTTTTTTTAATTTTTTTTTTCCTTGAGATCCGTCTAAAAGTAAGAATCTGTGCTGTTTTGCAAAGATGCAGATGTGAAGTGTGTCTTTTAGTACAGCAAAAGAAAGATTTTAATCTGTTCTGGAAGACAGCTTCCCGTGAGTACACACTCGGAACAATAACTTCTCACTGTGCCTCAGTTACATGTTGGGACTGTCAGCCAGAAACTTCTATCGAGGAAACTTGGAGCGCGTTGAAGTTATAGATCCCAGCAAAGGTTTTCGTGGCCAGGGATGTTTGTCTCTGCTACTCGGCTGAGCTTTTAGGACATTTCTTCCCTACTGAAACCCAAGAAGAACCAAGGAAAAGCAGTTGTTTAGGTCGGATAAAAATGGGACTCTCTCACTAAAGGTTTAAATCATTATTTCCTCTTACCCCTTAGAAAATAATCGGAGAGATTTCCAAGGATATTCAGGAGAAGGGGGTGAGAATTTTCTCTTGAGCATTTGGGAACTATTTTAGTAATAAATACATAAAGAACAAGCACAGAAATAACTTTAGACAGATGCAGATTATTTCAGAAGACTTTACTTTGCTCTTCCTCCAGTAGTATATTTCTTACCCCTCAGTTTTTTGTTTTTGTGTTTTTGTTTTGGTAATAGGTCTGATTGAGAGTGGCCTTAACACATCACTTCATCACTTCACTCTCACTCGCAGAGTGGGCGTTTCTATACCATTTTCCTCTTTTCTGAGACCCTCTAGTTATGTAAACTCCATCCAGGTGCAGATTCCCTGTCTGTGTGCCAGTGTCTTTCAATGGATACCCTCCTTCTTCCTTTTGGAATTTTGAGAAGCGTTTGCAAATGTTGCAGGCTGCGAACTGGAGTGAGGGAGAGAAGGGAGAGATGGGATGAGAGTTTGTAGGAGGGAGGTATACTTATTTCCAGGAGAGAGGAGAGCCTAGAGGAAAAAATATGAGGTTAAAAAAACTGGAAAAGCAGGCTTATTGGCAACTTGCCAAACCCTAAAAACCACCCCCCTTTTCTGCCAAAACAATACTTTAGCAAACTTAAAATAATTGCAGGAAGCTCTTTTCCATTTTAAGAACTATCACCTGGGGAAGGGAAAAAGGGGATTCTTAAAAGGCACCTTTCCAGAGGTACCCCTCGAACAGGGAAGGTAATGATAGACTAAGTCCAGTTCTGGGCACGCGTATGTGGACCACGATATGTCCCTTCCCTAAGGGGACATCCCTTTCACAATTTTTTTTTCCTCTAAAGAAGAAGATTTTTCTTGTTTCTGAACGTGATAGAACTTTTTGTATGGCGTCTGTGTTCAAACCCACTAGTTTCACAGTCCTGCGGGGGGAGAATGCTCATTAGTCTCCACCTCCCTTTCTCCAGACACCCACCTCCCCAAATCCGGTGAATCTTCTGTGTGAAATGATTTCCCACTACCCCCGCTTCTGAATGCCATAGGACTGAAGCTGTGCAAAGTTTTCAGGATTTTGTGCATAATTACGTCTGCCAACGAATCTATTCCCATAGAGGCTTCGTTGGTGAGATTACAATGCTTTGAGCCATACCGCATTTCAGAGGGGAAAAAGTTACCTAGGAGGTCTGATTTTTAAGCAATTTGCATACATGCAAATCTGCCCCCTGGCATTCTCCTTGGTTCCTGATGTGCCCACACAGTGGTCCAAGGGGTGCAGGGCTACGGGGTAAAGTTGCCCAAGTCCTCAAACGAGGTCCGCGAAGGTCTGCAGCGGGGGTTGGGGGATGGGGACGAGGAAAAGTAGTTTTGTTTGCTTAAGCACATCCTGTGGCAGCCTATAGCTGCCCGGGAGTACAGACTGTAACTGCTCCTCACTGCGTTACCCAGTAATGCGCTGCGGGGGGGGGAGGGTGGCAGCGGTAGGGGGGCCAGAGAGAGCGAGCTAGAGAGCGAGAGGGAGCGAGAAGGAGCGAGCGCGCGCGAGCGGCCGCGGAGGCTCGGGACCGGGCTGGCCGCGCGGCACCGCAGCCGCCCCCTCCCCCA